CAGGTTCAAGTGATTCTCCTGCCTCAGCCTCCCAAATAGCTGGGATTACAGGCGCACACCACCACACCCAACTAATTTTTGTATTTTATTGGAGACGGGGTTTTGCCATGTTGGCCAGGCTGGTCTCGAACTCCTGACCTCAGGTGATCTACCCACCTCGGCCTCCCAAGCTGCTGGGATTACAGGCGTGAGCCACTGCACCCAGTTTGCCCAGGCTGGTCTTGAATTCCTGGCTTCAAGCGATCCTCCTGCCTGGGTCCTTCAATAAATATTGACAAGCACCTCCCTGGTGCCAGGCTCTGCTGAGAGTGCTTTAGGTACATTGGCAAACAAGACAGAACAAAAAAAAACCCCAAATTTGTTTAAATTCCCAGGTTCATGGAGCTTACATGCAAGCGGAGAAGATGGTCAGTAAGCCATCAGTGTCATATGTCAACTGTAGAGCAGCTCAGGAGTGACAGGTGTGATGGTAGGCAGAGCAGGGGAAAGGGGTGCAGGGGGTCTAGCTGTAAACAGGATGCTCCGGGGTAGCCCTCATGATAAGGGGTGACATTTGGAGCAAAGGCTTGAAAAAGTGGAGGACAAGAGGCGTGAGCCACTGTGCCCAGCTGTACTTGTATTTAATGAAAACTAATGGCTGCTGTGTGACCTTGGGGGACTCTATTAACCGCTCTGGGCCTCCATTTCTTCCAGCATAAAGTGGTCCTCTCACTACCCCCCTCGTGAGGTTCTGGGAGAAGTCTAGGATCGTGCATGTTCTTGGCATAGAGTTTCTGTACAGGTGGCTTCCATGCTGGTGCCAGGCCCTTTCCTGGGATTGGAGAGGGATGGGCAGAGGAAATTCAGAGGTTTGAGGAGGCTGTGTCCCCATCTCCTGGGGCAAGGAGGCTATTGGTCAAGAAGGTCTGCATTTAGAGGGTGACATCTGTGCCGGGAGCGGTGGCTCACGCCTGTAATCCTAGCACTTTGGGAGGCCGAGGCGAGCAGATCACGAGGTCAGGAGATTGAGACCGTCCTGGCTAACATGGTGAAACCCCATCTCTACTAAAAATACAAAAATTAGCCAGGTGTGATGGCACATACCTGTAGTCCTGGCTAGTAGGGAGCCTGAGGCAGGAGAATGGTGTGAACCCAGGAAGGCAGAGGTTGCAGTGAGCCGAGATTACACTACTGCACTATAGCCTGGGCAACAGAGCGAGACTCTGTCTCAGAAAAAAAAAAGGAGGGTAACATCTGACCTGTGTCGAGGTGGATGGAGGAGGTGGGAAAGGCACTCAGAGAGCAGAAAACGGGCGTGCCTAGAGCTGGTGTCTGCAGGAAGGAGGCCAGAGGAGGCAGTGACCTAGGGTTTGACCTGAAGGCACTGAGGCGCCACAGGATAGCTGGGAGCAGAGAGGGGGCAGCAGAGAAGACCTGGAGGAGGCTGAGTCCAGGGCCCACAGGGAAAGGAGAAGGCCTGAGGTGGGCAGGAACACAGGGACAAAGAGGGAACCGGGGCCTGGTAGGCCGTGGAGGAGGGAGGCAGGAGGCCTGGGAGGTTGGGCCTTTAAGAGTTGCATGTCTGGTCGGGCGTGGTGGCTCAAGCCTGTAGTCCCAGCACTTTGGGAGGCCGAGATGGGCGGATCACGAGGTCAGGAGATCGAAACCATCCTGGCTAACACGGTGAAACCCCATCTCTACTAAAAAATACAAAAAAATAGCCGGGCAATGTGGCGGGCGCCTGTAGTCCCAGCTACTCGGGAGGCTGAGGCAGGAGAATGGCATAAACTCGGGAGGCGGAGCTTGCAGTGAGCTGAGATCCAGCCCACTGGCCACTCCAGCGCTGGCGATGACAACGGGAGCGGAGACTCTGCTCTCAAAAAAAAAAAAAAAAAAAAAGGGAGTTGAATGGCTCTGGCCGGGTGTGGTGGCTTACAACTGGAATTCAGCCACTTTGGGGAGGCCAGAAGGGTGTGGTGTGGATCACCTGAGGGTCAGGAGGTTTGGAGCAGGCCTGGCCAACATGGGTGGAACCCCATCTCTACTTTATGAACAATACAAAAATCAGTCTGGGCATGATGACCAGGCACCTGTATCACAGGCCTATTCAGGAGTCTGAGGCCGCGCCAGGAGAAATCGCTTGAACCATTTGGAAGGGTGGAGGTTGCGGTGAGCCGAGATCATGCTCACTGTACTTCCAGGCCGTGGGTGGCGGAGCAGCGGACCCATCTCAAAAAAAAAAAAAAAAAAAAGAGTCACATTGTCATTCGCCCGTCCAGGGGGGGGCTGTAGTCGGTTTCCCAGCGATTCACCTGTCCTGCCTGCCGGCACCAACCGGAGCCTCTGCTCTGCTGGTCGCCCCGCCCAGCCTCTCACTGGCTCAATTGTCCCCTTCATTCCTCCACTCAAATCGAGCGATATCGGCATGTCAGGCCCTGGATGTGTTCTGTGGGAACAAACAGGCCTGTGACCCAGGCATAGAGAAGGTCGCCCTGGGGGCAGATTTGTTCTACAAGGTGGACAGCAGGCGCAGGGCACCTGTTTTAGGAATGCGAGGATGCAGCCACATAGGCACTTGGGCGGGTGTCGGGGGTGCTCCTTGGCGGGCTCAGTGCTCAGGCAGAGAGTGGCAGGGTCAGGGGGGCATTTCCAGGAGCGGGAACAGCAGCTCCAGGGGCCCAGAGGTGGGACTAGTGCTCGATGCATTTGGAGGTCTTGGCTGGACTGTGGGATTCATGGGGAAGGAGGGCCTGAGTCTACAGGGCTGAGAGGCCACCGCAGCTTGGGTTCAAATCCCAGCTCTGTTCAGTTCTTGTGTGGCCACAGCCAAACTGCTTCCCTCCTTGAACCTCCATGTCCTCTCTGTAGCACTGGAACCTACAGTGAGAGCCTGATTCTACCGCACCCACTGCACGACAATTAGTTTGTTTGTATGTTTGTTTCTAGAGGCAGGGTCTCACTCTGTCACCCAGGCTGGAGTGCAGTGGCGCAATCTCAGCTCACTGCAGCCTCAAACTCCTGGCTCAATTGATCCTCCTGCCTCAGACTCCCAAGTAGCTGGGACTACACGTGTATGCCACTACACTTAGCTAATTTTTAATTTTTGCACAGAGACAGTGTTCTCACTATGTTGCTCATGCTGGTCTCGAACTCCTGTCCTCAAGTAATCCTCCTGTCATGGCCTCCCAAAGTGCTGGGACTACAGGTGCGAGCCACTGCGCCCAGCCGCTGGGGAGTTTTCAAAGTGTCCGCAGCACCCAGGGCTGAGAACTGCTGCAGCAGCTGAAAGCCACAAGTGTTTTTGACTTTCCTTTTGTCCTGGTAAACCCCTTCATTCCTTCCTTCCTTCCTACACTCAGTCAATCAAACACTGGTTGAACACCAACATGTCCCAGCACTGTGGGCTCCACCCTGGCCTCTGGGCAGTGGTGGTGGGACCCCCGATTTGGAGATTGTAGGTGCCAAGAGGAATGGGCAAGATGCCCTCCCATTCATTCATTTATTCCTTCAGGGCTTCTCCAAGGGCCCAGGGTCTTTTCTTGTTGGCATCTGGGGTTTCCTCTCCTGTAAGCTGGGAAGGAGCTTTCTCCCTCAAGGAGCTATTGGCCAGATCAAAGACTAAAATAATGCTAAACAGAGCTTCCGTTTCCTGATAAATGTATCGGGAGCCAGGCACTTAAAATATATTATCCCATTGAATCCCCAAGTAGGATTAAAACCTCAAGGCAGAGATTGTTCTTATCCTCACGTGACAGATGAGGAAACTGAGGATCAAAGAAGTGAGGTCCACTGCCCAAGGCACAGAAAGGGCAAGTAGGACCTATGGAAGCGCAGCCAAGGCCCAGCAGTCGCTCAGTAGCTAATACTCCTGAAAACTGATTACCTCACCGCGTCCGCCCACTGGACTAAATCTGCCTGGTAACCGATGACATCATCACTAATTCCACGCCCACGCTCAACCTATGGGATAACTGATGACATCACTGAACAAAGTAACTGCAGTTTATTGAAGGCCTACTGTGTGCGCAAGGCTGTGCTAAGCAGGCCCTCCTCTGAGTTCACATAAGGCACCGTGGTGCCTGCTACTGCATGAAATAATCATAATAATTTTAGCTCAAAGTTACGGAATGCAGACTATGAGCTAGGCTCTGTTTTAATCTTTTTTTTTTTTTTTTTTGAGACAGAGTCTTGCTCTGTCCCCTGGGCTGGAGTGCAGTGGCGCAATCTCGGCTCATTGCAACCTCCACCTCTTGGATTCAAGCAATTCTCCTGCCTCAGCCTCCCGAGTAGCTGGGATTGCAGGTGCCCACCACCACATCCGGCTAATTTTTGTGTTTGCTTTTGTTTTTCTTTTTGTTTTTGAGATGAAGTCTCACTCTGTTGCCCAAGCTGGAGTGCAGTGGCACGATGTCAGCTAACTGCAACCTCAACCTCCTGATCTCGTGATCCACCCGCCTTGACCTCCCAAAGTGCTGGGACAACAGGCGTGAGACACCTCACCCAGTATCTTTTTATTAAAAAATTTTTTTTAAATATTTTATTTTTATTATTTTTATTTTATTTTATTTTATTTTTGAGATGGAGTTTCGCTCTTGTTGCCCAAACTGGAGTGCAACGGCACCACGATCTCAGCTCACTGCAACCTCCGCCTCCTGGGTTCAAGCGATTCTCCTGCCTCAGGCTCCGGAGTACCTGGGATTACAGGCATGCGCCACCACGCCCAGCTAATTTGTGTCCTTTTAGTAGAGACGGGGTTTCACCATGTTGGCCAGGCTGGTCTCGAACTCCTGACCTCAGGGGATCCACCCGCCCCCGCCTCCCAAAGTGCTGGGATTACAAGCGTGCGCCACTGCGCCCGACCAGCTTTATAAGGTTTATAGGGACAGTGTCACCACTTTACAGAAGAGGGACCAAGGCTCTGAGGAGGAAGTTCCTTGCCAGGGTCGGAGTGGCGCCGCCCTGAGAACCCTGGCACCCACCTCCCTGCTCTCCCTCATGGCGTCTCCCCCACCCTTCCACAGCCAGAAGTTGCCAGGTGAATACTTCCGGTACAAGGGCGTCCCCTTCCCCGTCGGCCTGTACTCGCCCGAGAGCATCAGCTTGGCGGAGAACACCCAAGATGTGCGGGACGACGACATCTTTATCATCACCTACCCCAAGTCAGGTACCTGCCGGGCTGCGGGCGTCCGGGGCTGGGGAGCGTGGGGAGGGGGTGCGGCGGAGGACGGGAAAGGCACATCGAGGAAGAGGGGAGGAGGAAAAGCGGGGCCGGGTTTGTTCAGAACTGTGCCCCTGCCAGAAGTAGCCTCCCAGGGATACCCACCCGGCACCCAGCCTCTCCCCTCCAGGTCAGTTCTCAACACTTCGCCTTCCCTGACCTCCCTGGCTGAAATAGGGCCCTCCTTCTGTCCCTCCCTGTCCTCTTTACCCTCTACTTTTCTTTTATCTTCTCTTCTCTTCTGTTTTCTTTTCTTTTTTGTAGAGATGGGGTCTCGCGACGTTTCCCAGGCTGGTCTTGAACTTCTGATCTCAAGTGATCTTTCCGCCTTGGCCTCCCAAAGTGCTGGGATTACAGGCATGAACTACCACACCTGATCATTTTTATTTTTATTTTTTGAGACAAGGTCTTGCTGTGTCACTCAGGCTGGGGGTGCAGTGGTGCAATATCAGCTCATCAATCCTCCCATCCTCCCAAAGTGGTGGGACTACAGGTGCTGGTCACCACCTAATTGTATACCTTTTTTTTTTTTTGGAGGTTTTGCTCTGTCGTCCAGGCTGCAATGTGGCGGTACAATCTCAGCTCATTGCAGCCTCGACCTCCTGAACTCAAGTGATCTGCCCACCTCAGCCTCCTGAGTAGCTGGAACCACAGGTGTGCACCACCACACCTAGCTAACTTTTGTAGAGACGGGGTTTCATCATGTTGCCCAGGCTGATCTTGAACTCCTGGGCTCAAGCAATCTTCCTGCCTCAGCCTCCCAAAGTGCTGGAATTACAGGCGTGAGCCACCGCACCCAGCTAAATTGTATACTTTAAAGTGATGAATTATATACAATTTGAGTGTTTGAGTTTGAGACCAGCCTGGGCAAAACGGCAAACCCCCAGTCTATTTTTTTTTTTTTTTGGTGACAGAGTCTTGCTCTGTGGCCCAGGCTGGAGTGTAGTGGCGTGATCTCAGCTCACTGAAACCTCCGCCTCCCAGGTTCAAGCAATTCTCTGCCTCAGCCTCCTGAGTAGCTGGGATCACAGGTGCCCACCACCACCTGTGGCTACTTTTTTTTTTTTTTTTTTTTTTAGTAGAGACGGGGTTTCACCATCTTGGTCAGGCTGGTCTTGAACTCCTGACCTCATGATCCACCAGCCTCAGCCTCCCAAAGTGTTGAGATTACGGGCGGGAGCCACCGAGCCCAGAATTTTTTTTTTTTTTTTTTGAGACAGAGTCTTGTTCTGTTGCCCAGGTTGGAGTGCAGTGGCGTGACCTCAGCTCGCTGCCACCTCCGCCTCCCGGGTTCAAGTGATCCTCTTGCCTCAGCCTCCTGAGTATCTGGGACTACAGGCGTGTGCTACCATGCCCAGATAATTTTTGTATTTTTAGTAGAGACGAAGTTTCACCATGTTGGCCAGGATGGTCTCTATCTCTTGACCTCGTGATCTGTCTGCCTCGGCCTCCCAAAGTGCTGGGATTACAGGCGTGAGCCCAGTCAATAAGTAGCATTTAAATGACCAAAGGGAAATAACAAAAACTCTTCTTTCCCTTTTTTCTCCTCTCTTCCCCACCTCCTCCAACAAGTATTTATTAAACACATATTATGTGCCCTGCACTGTTCTAAGAACAAAGAAAGCTGCAACTCTCCAGACAGACTGAAACGTCTGCCTTTATGAAGCTCACATTGTAGTGGGGGAACCCAGAGAATAAATCAACAAATAAAAATATGACACTATGAAAAAAAACATATGACACTATGACTGGTGGCAATAAATGCTGTAAAGAAAAGTAGAGGGTAGGCGGGCCATAGTGGCTCATGCCTGTAACCTCAACACTTTGGGAGGCTGAAGTAGGAGGATCACTTGAGGCCAAGAGTTCAAGGCCAGTCTGGGCAACATAGCAAGACCCCATCTCTACAAAATAAAATAAAATAACCAGGCATGGTGCTGTGCGCCTGTAGTCCCAGCTACTCGGGAGGCTGAGGCAGGAGGATCACTTTAGCTGGAGAGGTTGAGGCTGCAGTGAGCTGTGATCACACCACTGCACTTCAGCCTGGGCAACAGAGTGAGACCCTGTCTTAACAAAAAGAAAAAGGGTACAATTCAATGACTTTGCCATGTTCAATAGCATGTGGTCATCCATTACCACAATCAATTTTAGAATATTTTCAGCCGAGCACAGTGGCTCACACCCATAATCCCAACACTTTGGGAAGCCGAGGCAGGAGGATCTCTTGAGCCTAGGCCAGCCTGGCCAACATGGCGAGACCCCCTCTCTTCAAAACATACAAAAATTAGCCAGGCATCATAGTGCACGCCTGTAGTCCCAGCTACTTGGGATTCTGAGGTGGGAGGATCGCCTGAGCCTGGGAGGTGGAGGTTGTAGTGAGATGTGTTCACCCCACTGCACTGCAGCCTGGGTGGCAGAGACTCTGTCTCAAAAATAAAACACTGAGTGGGCCGGGCACTGTGGCTCATGCCTGCAATCCCAGCAGTTTGGAGGCCAAGGCGGGTGGATCACTTGAGGTCGGGAGTTCGAGACTAGCCTGGCCAACATGGTGAAGCCCCGTCTCTACTAAAATATACAACAACTAGCCAGGCATGGTGGCACACACCTGTAATCCCAGTACTCCACAGGCTGAGGCAGGAGAATCACTCGGAACCCGGGAGACGGAGGTTGCAGTGAGGCGAGAGTGTGCCACTGCACTCCAGCCTTGGTGATAGAGCGAGACCTTGTCTCAAAAATAAAAATAAATAAAAAATAAAGAACATTATCATCATCCAACAAGAAATTCTAGACCTATAAACCATCACCTCCCAATCCTCACATCCCCTCCCCCCGGGCCCTGGTAACCACCAATCTCCGTTCTGTTTCTATGGATTTGTCTATTCTGGGCATTTCATGGAAATGGAATCTACACCATGTGGCCTCTTGTGTCTGGCTTCTTCCTGAGCATCACATTGTCAAGGTTCAACCACATTGTAGCATGTGTCAGAGTTTCATTCTTTTTTATGGTCCAATAATATTTTATGTTATGTATAAACTATATTTTATTTATTCATCAGTTGATAAGCATTTGGATTATTTCCTCTCTGGGCTTATTATGAGTGAAGCTGCTATGAACATTGCACGCAAGTTTTTTTTTGTTTTGTTTTGTTTTGTTTTTTTGCGGTGAAGTCTCGCTCTTATCCCTCAGGCTGGAGTGCAGTGGTGTAATCTCGGCTCACTGCAACTTCCACCTCCTGGGTTCAAGTGATTCTCCTGCCTCAGCCTCCTGAGTAGCTGGAATTACAGGCACCTGCCACCACACCCAGCTAATTTTTGTAATTTTTAGTAGAGACGGGGTTTCACCATGTTGGCCAGGACCGCCTCGCCATCCCAAGTTATGGGGATTACAAGGCGTGGAGCCACTGCACCCCGGCCCTGGATTTTTGCTTGTTTTTTCCTTTCTGTCATTGTTCCAGAAAAAAATCTTGGACCTTTAACACTAAACTTTCTTGGGGTTT